CGTCAGATACGAGTCGTCTTCGTAAGATCCTGTCTAAATCTCCTTCCGTCCCAAGCTATATACAAAAAGCGGACGGAAATTGGACTGCAGGTAGTCAAGAGACACTTGAGCTTCTCTTGAATACTCACTTTCCTGGTTGTATCCCAACTGGTGAATCAATTGCAGATAATCAGCACGGTATTGAACTAGATAATACTGCTGAAGATGTTATGATAGATGATGACATCATTCGCTGGGCAATAAGGAGTTTTGACACCTATAAATCTCCGGGCCCTGATGGTATTATTCCAGCGGATCTACAAAATAATTTAGATCGCATCATTCCCTGGCTAAGTAATATTTATAAGGCCTGTTTATACTGGTCCTACATACCTGTACAGTGGACCAGGTGTAACGTGATCTTTATCCCAAAAGGGGGAAAGACATCTCACACCAAGGCAAAAGACTTCAGACCCATCAGTCTGGCGTCATTCTTGCTTAAAACTCTGGAGAGGATAATTGATATCAATGTCAGGATATCTATTGACAAATCTCTACTCTCAAACTCTCAACATGCATACATGAAAGGTAAATCTGTTGAGACGGCTTTACATTCCCTGGTTGGGTACATTGAAAAGTACATGAGTTATGGAAACTTCACTCTGGTTGCCTTTCTCGATATTGAGGGCGCTTTTAATAACGTCAGATCCTCACCTATCTGTCAATCCCTCTCACAGATGGGTGTGGAACGATCCATTGTGAGTTTTGTAAAGAACTTGCTATCTGAACGGACTATTGTATCTTCACTGGGTGATACAACAATCTGTAAAAAAGCCATCCGGGGCACTCCTCAAGGAGGGGTGTTGTCCCCTATTCTTTGGAATATGGCAATAAATGAACTATTGGTCAAACTTGACTCACTAGGTTTTAAGACGGTTGCCTACGCTGACGATGTTGCAGTAGCGGTAACTGGTACACATCTTGAGACTCTGTCTCAGAGATTGGAAGAAGCGCTAAAGATAATAAGCTCATGGAGTGTTAAATGCGGTCTCAGCGTAAACCCAGGAAAAACGGAACTAGTATTGTTCACAAATAAATACAAAATTCCTCAATTCTCCCTTCCACGCCTCAACGGTGAGGTTCTCACACTGTCGGATAGCGCAAAATACTTAGGTGTTATTCTCGACAGAAAATTGTCTTGGAGCTTGAATATCATCTCCAGATCTTCCAAAGCCATTACGGCGTTATACGTTTGTAGAAAGGCTATTGGCCTGCATTGGGGTATCAACCCAGGAAATGTGAATTGGCTATATGAGGCGGTGATTAAACCGATAATGATGTATGGTGTAATTGTCTGGTGGCATGCACTTGACAGAATATCTAACAGAAACATTCTTACTAAAGTTATGAGACAATCTGCTCTTCTCATAACAGGTGTACTTAGGACTACGCCCAGTAAAGCGTTGTTTGCCATGCTGAACTGGCTGCCTGTGGATCTTCTTGCTAAACAACTGGCAATGAATACTGCAGCCAGACTAAGTATTACGAATAGATGGAACTACGGTTCCAGAGGTCATGCAAAGATTGTAGATCTTGTACCAAACCTACATCAAGCTATTGACTACCATATTCCGGAACCGTGCATTTCGAGGAACTTCCGGTATAGTTTAATCTGCGATTATAATGAATTAGCACCTGAAAGTGTTGGAAGCTTTAATGTATATACAGATGGCTCAAAAACAACTAAAGGTGTCGGCGGGGGCATATTCATTGAAGAATTCGGGACGAAAATCTCTTTCCGACTCAACGACGAATGTACTATTCTGCAGGCTGAAATCTCAGCTATAAAAAGGGCTTCTAATTGGCTTAGGTACTATCGGATATCCAACAGAGATATCAGAATTTATACTGACAGTCAAGCCGCTATCAAGTCCCTGATAGGTGTGTATTCTACATCAAAACTTGTCCAAGAATGCCGGGCGTCTCTAAACGAGATGGCGAGATATTCAAGAATTACCCTTATTTGGGTCAAAGGACACGGGGAAACAATTGGCAATAATACTGCTGACATTCTGGCAAAAGCCGGCACGAGGATGACCATACTGGATATTGACCAGTTCTGTGGTGTCCCCTTAGCGGTCATCAAGAAGCAAATACTTGATTACTGCTTCAATTCAGCTCAGGAGCGATGGTCTCAGGAGCACACTTGCTCGATCGCTAGGTTACTGTGGCCTCGTATGGATTCTCATAAAACATCCTACATTTTAGGGCTAAACAGAATATATCTGAGCGCTTTGTTATCAGTTCTTACAGGTCATTCAAAGTTTGGAAACCACGCTAGACGTATTGGTATTCCATATAATGACTTTTGTAGGAGCTGTCAAAATGAAGAAGAAGAGGAAACTATTACTCATTTTCTGTGTAACTGCCCGGCCCTGGAATCGCTCCGTCATCAGGCGCTGGGTTCGTCTCACTTTTCTGATCTATCTGATCTGTCAGCTATTCAACCTGAGTGTATACTAGCATTCTTGAAATTGTCGAAGTGGGTGTGTAACTAAATACACACTATGATTTTTCTGGTAATAGAGCCTTAACTTCTTCGCTATTCTATACTCATCATTCTACTTTCTATATCTGTTTCTTCACTACTTTCTTTATTACTACTCTTCCCCTTCCAAATGTTTTCCCTTATCTTTTCTCTTTACAGACGTTACAAAGGGACCGAATAGGACCCAAGTATAGACTTACTCGTGTTAGTAAGCAGTCTGAAAAACCTAACCTAACCTAACCTTGGTGCAAATTTAATCCAAATCGATTTTTTGAGTTGGGTGACAGTTTCTTATCAATGGGGTCACTTTTCTTCCATTATAATTGTGCAATATTAGATGATTTTATCAACGTTATGTTATTTGGATATCAATTGTTGGCTGGGTACATGAACGTTAGTGATAAACGAATGAATATTTGGTACTATGGTTTAAGGCTTAAAATTGAAACTTTAACCATATAAACCTAAAAAATTAAAATTTTGAGTAAACCACTTTTGTACACTAGAGGTGCCCAAAGAGTGTCGATTTTGTTTTTGGATGAGTCTTATTTTATTTATTAGTGTCCAAAATTTTCTTGTGTAAAATTTTTGCACAATCGAATAACGGGAACCCGTGATGGAATTAGAAACACTATTAATTTATTTATTTCCTTCTTATGAGATTTATTTCATTCCCTTTACAATTTTTAATGGAATTTAATACAATACTACTTTGGTAATTGAATAGATAATTTTACTGTGAAGCAAACAATTCCTTAACGTTGTCTTCTGTTTTTTTTTTTTCAAAGTTTGTACCTAATTGCTCTTGGAATTTTTGGAAATGATGCGTTCAATTGTATATTTTTATTATGGGAAAAATCTCTGACTAATTATTGAGATCTTAATTTTCAATCTTTGGAGGAATCAGACTTGGATATATCGATAATATTTGTATTAGTCTGAATTATTGGCATGTTTTGGATTTTATAAATTATGTTTTCGAATTAAAATTCCAAATGTGAAATAATCTTTGTTTTTATTTAATAAAAAAATTGTTGACAATGCTGTTTACAATCGTACATTTGAGAACAAAAGAAATTCACAAACGTATTTTACGAAAGAATCATTTAGTGTGGGTTTAATTTGTTATTTATTTTTATTAGTACCTAATAGTGTTTATATACCGGTTAACCGAAAAACCGGGTTTTATTGCATATTTCGGTTTTTCGCAAACCGGTTTTTTAAAACATTGGTTTTCGGTTAACCGGTTTCAAAAAAATCTAATTTTTAGTACAAAATTGCATGTTTTCTTTGATTTTTTATTGTGATTTTTAAAAATTTTGAATAGATAATTCTAAACATTATTTTCCGTTTGTGCACATGAAAACAGACCTAAGTTGTTAAACAAATGTTAGGAAATGTTAAACATATATTATGTATGTATATAAAATTAAGATTTACAATTTCAGACAATCAGGAAATTAGTAAAAAGTTGGCATTTAAACCAATAAAAAATTAACTATTTAAACAAATACCAACCATTATATGAAGAATAACTTTGATGATAAAATGCAGGATGCACTTACTTGTTTACTGCGTGAGTATAATAAAAATCGAGAAGTTTATCAAACGTTCTCAAAACGGACTTTATTTATCGGAACATTGTTGATGCTGTCCGAGAATTTATGCTGCTGGGGTTTTTCACAAACTGTAATGGAGCTTAGGTTGATTGACAGGTAGTCTGAATGACACCTGTCAATATTCCTAAGAGTCATTCACAGAACAACCACAGGCGGAGGGAGATCACAATTAAAGCAGGGGCCCAAATGTCTATGTCGAGACAGTCGTTGTCTACTTCCGTTCCCGATCAATCGTCGCGATCCTGAACACTATTTATACTTGATAGTCCTGGACATAAAGGGATGTTGTTCAATTTTGGCAACTTAGAACTACATCTAATCTTATTTTTAGAAGCAGTAAAAATTCGATATTTAGATGTCAAAAATAAACCACATTCTTTCAATGTCATGCTTATGTAAATTTCATTGTACTTCGAATATTTTATTTGTAGTGTTTTTTCTAAATCTCCTTCCTCACTTTTAAGGAAATATTTGGTTTATAAAAGCGAAAATATGTAATCGCATTTTTGGATGTGATTAAGATGTCGTCTGTAAAGTATGACATAAATAAACATACATTTTTTGCTAGTTACTGTAGTTCACATAGGCATCAAAAGAAACTAAAAACTTTTCAAACATTCTTTTAATTTTACTCAAAAACGTTTTTATAATGAGCAAAACAATATGCAAACGTTTGCCAAAAGTTTTTGCTCAAAACTTTACAATTGATAATGTACACCGTTCGGATGATAACATATTGAATATTGCTACAAAAATAGTGTGTATTTTCGCAATTTGGAACAAGGAAATACGCCAAAGTAAATAAATATATTTTTAATTTAAATGGGAAAATAAGAAAAAATTTTAATAAATACCTGTACTCCGGCATATGCTGTACTTGGATTGATCACAACTTTATGAATTTTTCCATATTTTCCAAAATATTCGTGCTTTTTTAAAATCTAAAATAAAAATAAATAAAAGTGATTTTCAATATCATTTGTTAAAAATTTTTGAAAAATTTTATCGTATACATATGGGCAATTTCGTGTCAAGTGACCTAATTTAAAAAATCGATGATATAAATAAAAGTGATTTTCAATATCATTTGTTAAAAACTTGAAAAATTTTATCGTATACATATGTGCAATTTCGTGACAAGTGACCCAAGTGCACCAATGCAATCCAATTGGATAGTAGGCCAGACATAAATTTTCAGCTCTATCGCTCAAAAACTGACGGAGGTTAGAAGGGGTCAAAGCTGTACATTTTGGTCATACAGGTTTTTTTTCGAATGCGAGACATTGCACTTATTGGTCCTTGCAAAAATTATCCAAGGGGAAAAAATTATATTTTAACTCAAGAATAAGATTTTTTACTATTTGGCACATATACAATTCTCATTTTCCCCTTAAAAAAATATAATTTTTTAGAAAGATTGAAACAGCTATCTACAGTCCTTTTGGCTAGAATCAATAGGTAAAGAGTTACACTCATTTCAAAAAAAACCTATATAACCTATATAAAAACCAAAATGTCCAAATTTGCCCCCTCTAACTCCGGCAGTTCATGACTGATAGAGCTGAACATTTGTGTCTTGCCTACTATCCAATAGTACTAAATGGTGCATTTCATCCAAATCTATTTTTTAAGTTAGGTCACTTGACACGAAATTGTGCATATGTTCAGTTTTCATTTCAAAATTTTCCCAGAAAAAAACGAATACTTTCATAAAGGTGTTATCACACGACATGTATTTTACTTCTGATAAATACACTCCCGATCACTTAAATAGGTTCACTGTTTTGTTTACATTCAAATTATTTTTTTGCAAAAAATAATGGACTAATTAGTAATATTAAAATTTTAAATAATAACATGATGTCTTATGTATCACTAGTGAGACAAAACTTAGCGCAATACCTAATAGCGGATTTTTAATAATTTTTTTCTAACATACTACGTTTTTTAGTTATATTTTTTCGGCTCACTTGATTAGGTTCAATCAGAATAAAATCAATTTACTGCTGGCAGTGAGTAAAATCCATTCATATTCTAGTGGCTGTGAATATAGACAATATATTTTTTAACAAATAGGTTGCGGTAAGCCTTTAACTAAAGAATAAAATGACAAAATTCAAGCGTTTTTGGAAATTGTCCAAAATCACAGGAATTTGGCAAACAAATTGGGGAAATTCAGAATGTTATTCGCAATTTTATAAGAACACAGTTTGAATATTAAGAAAACATAAATGGAACTACATATAGAGTCAAAACAAAAGCGGACAGAAGAGATTTCATAAAATTTGCCTCCAAGTCAAGTGATTCTGTAGCAAAAATTAGAGAAAAAGTAGGTGTTACAGCAAGCCTAGCTACAGTAAAACGAATTTTTTTGAAAGGAAGAGTTCTACATGAGTCGTTTGCATAGCTGTTGAGGATGTGGGGTGTAGTGGGGGCAATTTCGTATTATGAAACATGTGAGCTTAAATTTCTTTCATCTAGTAAGAATTGTAATAATTGTAATGTCATACTGGAAACAGCTTTTTTCACATTTTCGGATATCTTTGAACCATTGCCGTGGATATTTCAAAAATTTAATGCCCCGATCCATACCGCCAGGGCTGTAAAAGGGTGGATTCGAAGCCAGAATGTACAAATTTTGGAGTGGCTTCCACAATCATCTCACCTATTTATTATTGAAAATGTTTCGGATATTCTTTTTCGTAAAGTGTATAGGTCGGGCAGACAGTATGACACAAAAGAAGCATAAATTGAAGGAACTAAAAAGGCTTGGACCGAATTTTCCTTGTCATTACTTAAGAATCTTTATAACTCTTTATCACCTCGAATTTTCGATGTTATAGCAAGTAATGGCGGATATGTTCCTTACTAAATCTTTTCTAAAACCTTGTAAAAATGTTTATAAAAATAAAAAAGTTTCATGAAAAATGCATTTTGTTGTTGTTTTTGTCAATTAAAGATGATGAACCTATTCAAATGAGCAAGAAAAAAAATATTAAAAATCGGTTATTAAGTATTGCACTAATCTATTTAGTGATACATAAGAGATTATGCTATTATTAAAAATTTTAATATAACCAATTAGTCCATTATTTTTTGCAAAAAATTAATTTAAACGTAAATAAAATAGTGAACCTATTTAAGTGAGCGGGAGTGTATGAAATATTCCATGTGGAAAAACATGTCATTTTGTTCAATTAGAGCGTGCTCTATTTTCCTGTGACAAACATAAACAAAACAGCTATTTTGTTTTGAAATAAAATTGTTTGAAAAAATAAATTAAAGAAATGAACATGAAAAAACTAATTTATAATTTTAACAACTTTTACACATTAAAAAGGTATGGCAGGTGTGATAGCAGAAATTATGAATCGTATATAAAGGCCGACTTCCAAAACGTACCAATACAAAGTTTAAACACAATTTGACTGCGTATTTAAATATTGTACACATGTAAGGTTTCAACGATGCTTTGTTTATTTTCACGTTCTAAAATATAGAAGATGCAATGTATTGTTTTTATTAATTCAGCTGTTTGTGTAGTTTAAGCAAATAATTTCAACAAGCATCAACTTTAAAACTGATGCGCTGATTGCTATTTCGCTGCGTTTATAATACTTGTCGATGACGTTTTGAAACAGTATGCATTGTCAATGCTTTGTACTGTGGCGTTATGAAACACTATACTTTGTTCGTATACAAAGCAACTAACGTTTTGGAAGTCAGCCAAAATGACAATTTTGACATACATTAGGAATAACATATGGGTTAAGAAAGTGACAGTACATATGTAAAAAACATATCGTGTGGTAACACCTTAAGAATTACATTCATCACCACTTCAAAAGTATCACAAAGTAAATTTAGCTTTTGTGGAAGAGATGTTTAATGGCTTCTAAAGAGGCAACATAGTTTTATTTTTTCAAAACTGAAATTTTTTAAGTTAACAAATTTTAGTTTTGGGGTTTTGTATTAATATTCCACTTTCGAATAACTTTCAAAAAATAACGTAAAAATTACTTCTTGAGAATGATTTCACAAGTAGTTAATTTGGAATCAAATAAAAAGGACATCCCTCCTGTGTTAAAATCATCAAAGAAGCAGGTTTTTTTCAGTACTTCCATGTGTAGTGAATTTAATATGAAATACATATATACTAATATTTAATTTTGATCTAATTAGTTTTGTTTTTTATATTCTCAATTTTTCAAATATTATAATGTTTATTATAAATAATTTTAATGGAAATTTAAATTTCTTTAATTTGAAATTTTTGGGTGGGTTTTAGAAATGCCGTAAATGGAAGTAGAATTTACTCCATGGAAGTACTGAAAAAGACCTCAAGAAGTAATGATTTTAACACAGGCTAGTCATAGGAGGGATGTCATTTTTATTTGTTTACAAATTCACTACTTCTGAAGTTATTCTCAAGAAGTAATTTTTATGCTCTTTTTTTGGAAGTTATTCGGAAGTGATATTGTAGTATTATAGAATACAAATAATTTGAAATAAATACTATTAACATCCCAGCAAAATCTTTGCTTATAATGATGACCATTAAGTACTTTATTAATGACTTACTTTGTTGGCAAAGTCTAAAAAAAATCAAAATAAAGAAACAAACAAAAATAAAACAGTTACTTTTTCTTTTTTTAATTTTTTTGTGCACACGATAGTGGTGTAGTGAGTAGAGCATCTAACATCTAGAGTGGTGTAGTGAGTAGAGCATCTAACTGGCAGACGGAAGGTACTGAGTTCAACCCCAGTCTGTTTCGACTTTTTATTTTTATTTTGTCATAAATATTCTATAAATAACTCTACTAAAAAAAACAACTTATTTCCAACAAAATAATATTGACTTACTTTTGGAACATTTTTTTAGTGAATTTGTAAGCAAATATTTTGCTGGGATTATTAAGGTTAATAGACATATTTAATACAAAAGTCCGAAAATAACATTCTTTATCTCATAAAAATGCAAGAACAAAAAATAAATCTTCAACATTTCGTCCTCTGTCCGTCCCACCCCTGTCCTCTTCACTGAATTTTTTGTAGCAATTTTTCTTTTATCGACCGATAAGCCTTACGTCCTTCCTACTTAAAACCTTGGAACGGATAGTCGATAGTATGGTTGAAGGCAGTATACATGACAAAGACCACAAATATAAGCAGAATGCTTACGTAAAGGGACGATCGCACAGTGGTATAAGAAATAAAAAAGAGGGAAATAATTCGGTAACTTCTAAACGGTTAATCTGATTTTGATGAAATTTGGTATGCACAAAGAGGAGGTGTTGTCGAGTTTAGGTTTTGAAATTGGACCTTATAGGCCAACCAGGGGCCCGGCGGGGGGTCCTCAAATTAGGACACCTCGGCTATGTTAAATTTTTAAAACGATCCTTTTTCTTCATTTGAGTTCCGATTTAAAAAAAAATTCGTATATAGAATCTCCTCATCGAGCACTATAAAAAATGTCGTCGTAGCAGTAAATTATCTCTTATAGTTTAGGAGATATTCGCATTTGAAAATTAAAATTTTAAAATTTTTACCGTCCTTACTTTAGTTTTTTTGATAATAGCGGGTCCAAATATTCCCGATTTTCGCCATTTTTTTTTATTCGCTTAACAACAAGTTTATATATCAAGCATTGAAAGAATTATGTAAAAATCATGACTGAGTCCAAAGTTATAGGCATTTTAATTTAAAAAATTAAAAAAAGGCGATTTTTTGTAATTTTTTTGGGAAAAAAGTATCTTTTTCTTTTTAAGTTATTTAAAAAGTTTCTAAGAAGATGTATATAGAATTTATACTTTTTGGAAAGCTGACTTTACATAAAATACGATAAATGAAACAAAACCTAAATTTTTTATGGAAAATTCAATTTTGAGCAAAAATTCTCAAATCGCATAGTCGATATCAAATTATAGTGACCTGTTTTATATGACCCAATATGTTCTTAATCATTTTGTAACGGGTTTCGATAACCCCACCCCTGGTATGGATGTAATAGGCAAAAAACCAAAAAATCCCATTTTTGGGATTTTTTAAAACTTTTTTGGGAATTCCGGGATTTCTAATAAGAAAATTCGAAATTTTTATTTAATTTTGGATTTTGAGTAAAAAAATGTACCTAACTGTAAAATTTCATCAAAAAATATTCATAAATAAAATTTTTATTGCAATTTGAAAAATTTGTATCTTCGCAAAAACTGAATAAAAAATATTTTTTAATTTTTTTTTTTAAAAAGTCTTCCGCGAATTTTTTAATTTTCAAAAATTATATACAGTTTTGAAAAATAGACAAAATTACCTTTCCATTGATATATATAACATGCCTACCTAATGTTTTTTTAAGTGACAAATTAATTAGGGAAAACAACATCTTTTAGAGAATTTACCTAGTAATATTATTTTCAATATATTTTTTTTAATATATGTAACAGATTTAAGAGTTAACCTTATGGATAAAAATAATAGTGCTATGTAAATTTTCTAAAAGATGTTGAGTTTTCCCTAATTAATATGTCACTTAAAAACATTAGGTAGGCATGTTATATATCAATGGAAAAGTAATTTTGTCTATTTTTCAAAACTGTATATAATTTTTGAAAATTAAAAAATTCGCGGAATACTTTTTTTAAAAAAAATTAAAAAATGTTTTTTATTCAGTTTTTGCGAAGATACAATTTTTTCAAATTGCAATAAAAATTTTATTTATGAATATTTTTTGATGAAATTTTACAGTTAGGTAGATTTTTTTACTCAAAATCCAAAATTAAATAAAAATTTCGAATTTTCTTATTAGAAATCCCGGAATTCTCAAAAAAGTTTTAAAAAATCCCAAAAATGGGATTTTTTGGTTTTTTGCCTATTATATCCATACCAGGGGCAGGGTTATCGAAACCCGTTACAAAATGATTAAGAACATATTGGGTCATATAAAACAGGTCACTATAATTTGATATCGACTATGCGATTTGAGAATTTTTGCTCAAAATTGAATTTTCCATAAAAAATAGGGTTTTTTTGGATGGACCTGGTCCCCTCGGTATCAAAAATTTTTAGGTTTTGTTTCATTTATCGTACTTTATGTAAAGTCAGCTTTCCAAAAAGTATAAATTCTATATACATCTTCTTAGAAACTTTTTAGATAACTTAAAAAGAAAAAGATACTTTTTTCCCAAAAAAATGACAAAAAATCGCCTTTTTTTTATTTTTTAAATTAAAATGCCTATAACTTTGGACTCAGTCATGATTTTTACATAATTCTTTCACTGCTTGATATATAAACTTGTTGTTAAGCGAATAAAAAAAAATGGCGAAAATCGGGAATATTTGGACCCGCTATTATCAAAAAAACTAAAGTAAGGACGGTAAAAATTTTAAAATTTTAATTTTCAAATGCGAATATCTCCTAAACTATAAGAGATAATTTACTGCTACGACGACATTTTTTATAGTGCTCGATGAGGAGATTCTATATACGAAATTTTTTTTAAATCGGAACTCAAATGAGGAAATAGGATCGTTTTAAAAATTTAACATAGCCGAGGTGTCCTAATTTGAGGACCCCCCGCCGGGCCCCTGGTTGGCCTATAAGGTCCAAATTCAAAACCTAAACTCGACAACACCTCCTCTTTGTGTATACCAAATTTCATTAAAATCGGATTAAACGTTTAGAAGTTACCGAATTATTTCCCTCTTTTTTTTTTCCTATACCACTGTGGATCGGTGGAAACCGCGTTAAATGAAGTTGTCCACTAGGTAGGTGAATACTTCGATAGGAATCTGGCGGTATGCATTGCCATCTAAGGCGCAATTTTGAGCACCCATATTTAGCGTTAAAGGAACTTTGGAATATTTTTAGTTATTTTTCTATATTATATGAACTGTTTAACTGTAATAAAAAGCAAATCAATTTGAAACTTGTTAGTTTTTTATTCCTGTCGTTCTAAAAGTGCCAAATTCATATCTCACTGTGACTATGTGGTTTGAAATATCGGTTTTATATAAACTCAATTTTTTACAAATAAAAATATATAAAGAAATTATAGCATAAATACTTACGTCTGCATCAGCAAGTCGTGGGGGTAAGCCTACCACAAAGACTAAATTTTTTTGAACAACACGAACATTAGCCAAATGTTTACGATTTTCTGTAATTTTCTGCTTTCGCTGCTGATCTCGTTGTCGTTTTTGGGATTTGAAAGCGATCATCTTAAAATATATATTAAAAATATATAATTATTAATAAGCGCATTATTTCTGAAAGTTTGAATGAAAATCACTGAAAACAAAATCATTATTTTAAGAAATGTTAATAAGAAAAATTTTATTTAGTCATTTCACAAAATATACAAACATACAGAAATGCATGCATGCATACATACATACATACATACATACATACATACATACATACATACATACATACATACATACATACATACATACCATACATACATACATACATACATACATACATACATACATACATACATACATACATACATACATACATACATGCATACATACATACATACATACATACATACATACATACATACATATGTAGCAACTACTACTTCACTATAAAAACACTTGTTTAAAAATATAAATTTTAAATTATATATCATTGATTTTATGAATAGACTTTTGTAGAAAATAGAAAAAATAAAAAAATATTTTTTAGTTGTATTTAAAATAAAGAATTGAAAAAACGATTTTTTATAATTGGTGACCCCGAGTTCTCCGCACATAGTATTTAAATTTAAATTCAGGAAATAAATTTACAAGATGCCAAGGCAAGCAACTCAAGAAACTGCTTCAGAATCTGTCGCACCTACAACTACATCCACAGTAAATCTTCGCATACCACGATTTTGGAAAGAAAATCCAGCCATTTGGTTTGCTCAGTTGGAGGCTCAATTTGAAAACCATAACGTGGTTAACGAAAGCTCCAAATATTTTGCTGTTCTGCCGGAATTAGAGCCTGAAGTGCTTTCTCAAGTAACTGATATTATCCTGCAACAACCAAGAGATGCGTACTCAAAGATAAAACAACGGCTTATTGACCATTTTTCCATTTCCGAAGAGAAGCGTATAAAAACACTTCTAAACGAACTACCAATTGGAGATAAGAAGCCAAGTTTTCTTCTTCGTGAAATGCGTAATCTTGCCAACGATGGTGTAAAAGATGAATTTCTCCGCACTATGTGGATTCAGCGCTTACCTACCCAAGCTCAAGCAATTTTGGCCACTTCATCTGAACCCTTAGATATTTTGGCTGTCATGGCCGATAAAATAGTTGATATTTCAAGCTCCTCATCCAGTATTGCTGCAGTCCAAAGTTCCAATGAAATAAGTGAGTTACGCCAACAAATTTCCGCCCTTACAAATGCAGTCAAGGATCTCCAAATTCCTAAAAATCGCCGTTCACGTTCTAAATCCCACAGTAGATCAAGAAAACCTCGCAACTCATCACAACAGATATGTTATTATCATCGTAAGTTTGGTGACAACGCCCGCTGTTGCCGTCAACCCTGTTCCTACTCTACCAGGAATTCGGAAAACTCCCAAGGCGGTCACTAAACACAACTAGTGACCGAAGCCAAGCAACAAACCGTCTATTTATTTTCGACCCTCAAATTCAGAAAAGTTTTTTGATTGACACAGGAGCTGACATCTCAGTCTTACCTTTGTCAAATCAAAATTATAAGAAAAGTCCTGAAAACTATAAACTGTTCGCCGCTAATGGAACACCTATAAACACATATGGTGACGCTATACTATCCCCAACACTTGGTCTAAGAAGAAGTTTCACTTGGAAGTTTATTGTAGCTGATGTTAACCATCCCATTATTGGAGCAGATTTCTTACAACATTATGGTTTGCTGGTGGACCTCAAAACTAAAAAGTTAATTGACAACTCCACAGGACTAAATTCATCATTTTTCATTAAAAAGACTAGTCATTTAGAAATAAAAACCCTTAACAATAATATTCCATACCATGAATTAATTGCTCGTTTTCCAGATATTACAAATCCGTCAACAACAACTGCCAAACGAAAACACAATGTGCAACATATAATAGAGACAAAAGGTCAACCTGTAACATCGAAGGCTCGACGTCTTTCACCTGAACAATTCGAAATCGCTAAACGTGAATTTGAATTTATGATGAATCAAGGTATATGTTGCCCATCCAAAAGCAATTGGTCCAGTCCACTTCACATGGTCCCTAAAAAGAATGGCCAGTGGCGGCCATGTGGAGATTATAGACGATTGAATTCCATAACGGTTCCTGACAAATACCCGCTACCTCATATCCACGATTTCGGATTTGGATTGAGTGGTAAGAAAATTTTTTCTACGATTGATTTAGTACGTGCGTACAATCAAATCCCTGTGGCGCCAGAAGATATTCCAAAAACAGCCATTATAACACCGTTTGGACTCTTTGAATTTCATTACATGACTTTCGGGTTATGTAATGCTGGCCAAACCTTTCAAAGATTCATACATGAAGTTTTGCGGGGCCTTGACTTTTGCTTCAGCTATCTAGACGATGTCCTGATTGCATCCAAGTCTGAAGAGGAACACTATAATCATCTTCAATTAGTATTTCAACGGTTCAACGAATACGGAATAGTGATTAATCTGTCAAAATGTCACTTTGGTCAAACAGAAATTCAGTTCCTCGGTCATATGGTCAACAAAGATGGTATTTATCCACTACCTGACAAAGTATCTGCAATTACAAATTACCCGAAGCCATCTACTGTAAAAGAAGTTCGTCGTTTTGTTGCAATGATAAACTTTTATCGCAGATTTATTCATCATGCTGCTGAAACTCAAATACCGCTTCTCGAATATCAAAAAGGCAACAAGAAAAATGACAAAACTCCTATAGTGTGGACTCCAGAAGCTGAACACGCTTTTAACAAATGTAAAACAGATTTAGCCAACGCTACACTCCTTGCCCATCCAATGGATAACAAACCAATTTGTGTAATGGTCGACGCTTCCGACCATGCTATAGGTGGAGTTTTGCAACAACAATCTGAAGCTGGCTGGGTTCCTCTTAGTTTTTTTTCAAGAAAGCTTACAGAAACACAAAAGAAGTACAGCACCTACGATAGAGAACTTTTGGCCATCTACACCGTAGTTAAATATTTTCGGTACATGCTCGAAGGCCGTCAGTTCATCATATTCACAGATCACAAGCCCTTAACTTTTGCTTTTAGGCAAAATCCAGAAAAGGCTTCACCTCGCCAGTTTCGTCAACTTGATTTTATATCACAGTTTTCAACTGACATACGTCATATCAGCGGACATGCAAATACAATTGCAGATACACTTTCGCGTATAGCTATGATTGATGTTCCTACATCTATAGATTTCGAAGAATTAAGTAAATCTCAAGAAGATGATGCAGAACTCCAGTCGCTTCTAAATGATAACTCAACTTCGCTTATTTTAAAGTCCATAGTAATGCAACATGATAAGCCGCCAGTTATTTGTGATATCTCAACAAATAAAGCAAGACCCTTTGTGCCGTCAAATTTTCGCAAAATTGTATTCAATTCACTTCATGGCTTGTCACACGGTGGCATTAAAGTAACAACAAAACTAATCCAAGATCGTTTTGTATGGACAAACATGAAGAAAGACATACACAAATGGACCCAAGAATGTATTCAATGTCAGCGTTCTAAAGTAATTCGACACACACATAGTCAAGTTGGTACGTATCCTATAACTTCCGAACGTTTTTCCCATATCAATATAGATTTGGTTGGTCCATTGCCGCCTGCCAATGGTTATAAGTACCTATTAACCTGCATCGACAGATTTAGTCGATGGCCTGAGGCTATTCCGTTAGAGGATATGACAGCACGAAAGGTTGCCGAAGCATTATACAATGGTTGGATATCACGCTTTGGTGTCCCATCATTTATAACTACCGATCAAGGTCGTCAGTTCGAGTCCAGTCTTTTTAAGGAACTCGCACTTGTTCTTGGTTGCAAAAGAATAAGAACAACAGCTTATCATCCATCATCAAATGGAATAATTGAACGATGGCACCGTTCCCTAAAAGCTTCTCTAATGTGCCATAATAACAAAAACTGGTTAGAAGTACTTCCAACTGTACTTATTGGTCTTCGTTCAAGTATCAGAGAAGATATAAAAGCAACGCCTGCAGAAATAGTGTATGGTACAACAATTCGTCTACCATGCGACCTACTTCAAAACTCTAAAGATTCATCGCCCAACGACGAATTTGTACAAAATCTCAAAGCACAAATGAACATGTTAAAACCAGTAGATATTAAACATAAATCAAATAAAACCGTATTTCTTCACAAGAATTTAGAAAGTTGTTCTCACGTTTTTGTTCGTACCGATGCTGTAAGGAAACCACTTCAACAACCATATGATGGTCCCTATAGAGTTCTGAAGAAAACTGACAAATTCTTTACGTTAGACGTCAATGGATCCAGCAAAGTGATATCTATAGATCGACTGAAACCGGCATTTATGTTCAATGATGAGATAATCGAAGAACCAAAATCAGTTACTATTCAATTGAAACGAATACCTTCAAATGTGAATCAAAAAATACCAGCTAAAAACAATTCAAGAATCCCTAAAAGAGTAAAATTTTCGAGAGTTAAATAACAAACTCTCTGGTGGGGGAGTATATGTAGCAACTACTACTTCACTATAAAAACACTTGTTTAAAAATATAAATTTTAAATTATATATCATTGATTTTATGAATAGACTTTTGTAGAAAATAGAAAAAATAAAAAAATATTTTTTAGTTGTATTTAAAATAAAGAATTGAAAAAACGATTTTTTATACATACATACATACATACATACATACATACATACATACATACATACATACATACATACATACATACATACATACATACATACATACATACATACATACATACATACATACATACATACATACATACATACATACATACATACATACATACATACATACATACATACATACATACATACATACATACATACATACATACATACATACATACATACATACATACATACATACATACATACATACATACATACATACATACATACATACATACATACATACATACATACATACATACATACACACATACATACACACATACATACATGCATACATACATACATACATACATA